AACAGACAGAGACAGAGAGTAATACAATCTGCAGATCTGAAAATGTATGGGTATCCTCTTAAACGCGAGTAGCTGGGGGAAGGGGGACAATTACTAAAATTACTTTCGATCGTTAATCGCTAAATCATCGGCTTTCACATTCACCGTAGAGCTCCTTCATACATTGCCATTGTTCATTTCCACTTCCATCAGTAACACGCACTTCATGCTAATATATAAATACGCTGCCCTTTAAACTTTTGACGGTAAGCACAGTTCTAAGTTTATCTTTTATAACACAGGATATATTTATAGCTAGGCCAGATGATGGCATTTTTGCCGAAATCGATAGCCACAGAAAAATTTTAATAATAAACGTTATACAACTTCGCTTTTATTACTTTTGCCACTGTTTATTTACCACTACAGCACATAGTGTTAAAGTGAAGTGATTTTGAGTGAGTAGGCTAAAGAAGTTTCTCTTTAGCAGTAAGAGTGGTTAAAATGATTTTTTTCACTACTAGCGTCTGATGACATGATTATTAACCTTTTTTCCACTTGTAAAGTAGGCTTTCTTGGCATTTGTTCAAAGTGGTTAATAATGTGGACATTATTAACTAGTAGTCAATAATGAGAACTGTCACGCTGTCACTTTTAGAAAACACACCCCGAAATTTCGCTCAATAAACGTTTTGACAAGTTCTCTAAAATGAAGAATTGCCACCATCCGCCATTTCCAGAGAAATTACATACCTGAAATTATCACGTTTTGAAAAAATTCGAACGAAATTACTCTTTGAAAGTATCTCAATGACAGAACAAAATACGGCCTGTTTGACTTGTACTTCTACGTACTTGATTGACATGTTAAATTAATAAACAAAAAATTCTGTCCAACCGTTCACTTTCTTATCAATATAATATGTTAATTTAGAGGACTTCAAGTGCTAGTAGTGAAAAAAATAGTATATATACCACGGTAGAGAAGTCTATTATTGCCTTCGCACCTTACACCCCTCGGCGCGCGCCTCGGGATGTAATCTTGGTGCTCAGGCAATAATACTGTACTTCTCTACCTTGATATATAATGTACTATTGTTAACCGCAAGAGTAGATAAAGTGAAACAAATGATTGTTCATTGTAATGAGATCTTTGATTCTAATTAAAAATCGGACGCGGAACATGAAATAAAAGTCCAGAACAGCAAACAATACTGTTTCCATGAAAACGACGGAAGAATCTAAGTTTATTTAATATTACCTATCCTTATGCAATAAATAATCTGTTCAGAAAAATGTTTTTACTGCGATATTGATCTTGAGAATGTCTTTAAACACAATCCATCTTGAAAAAATCACGGAACATTCTTGAATAGTTTAGAAAGCGTATCATATTTCGCATCTGCTTTCATTCCTTATCGCCGATAGTCTATTGTCGGCTTGATGGCACCTCGATGGCGGCTAGTGGCGCCCCCGATGTCTCTCTGAATTTATAGAATATGCGCTACAACATTTTCTTTATTTAATTTTATTTACAAGGCACCTTCATCAGCGACTATAAGTATATAATATCAGCGCATCTAAAAAAAAAAACATATTTTAGAAAGGAGAACATAGACAACATATTTACAAGTTAAATTAATTGGTACATTAATATGTTTGTGGTAGAGGTTATAATTTTTCTGCAATCGTCGGAGTTTGCCAACATTGCTGAAAGGTCGTGGGTTATTCCTGCTTGTTGTTGATCCTGCTGGTAGTAGTTTCACTCAACCAGAAGGTGCTTCACAGATATTGGGGAATAGCACTGAATAGAGGTCGCTTTAGATAGAAAGAACGAATGACTGAGATTAGTGTGGCCGATGCGTATACGGGTCATCTACTGACAGTTGGCTCAACTTATAGAGGTTTTCAAATATGTGTTTGTAACCATATGCTGTTCCAATAATTCAGGGTCTCCTTGTGGATCATCTTTTTCATGTAGTATAAGAGGTGCATCCGGCAGATCATATATCGTCGTCGTAGCGTTTGCGGCTTGATCTGCTAATTCGTTTCCCGTGACAAGAGGATTTAAGGATTCTGAGAGCATGGTTGATAGTTACGATGAGCAGAATGGCGCTGAGATCAAATCTCTGGAGTAGCCCATTGATAGAAACTAGTGTGGACAGCCTTCCATTGTTTCTCACTTTCACGCGTCAGCGGTTGAGGAAGTTCGCAATAAAGGTTATGAGATTGCCCGACATTATGATCTTGATGACTTAAATGGTCCATGTTGTTTCGTACGCCTTTTCTATATCCAGAGAGACCAAGAGGAGGTGCGGGTGGTTGGCAAGGGTAGTACTAATATCGGCTAGGTAGTCAGTTGTTGATCTGAAGCTGCGAGAACCGAACTGATGGAGTGCTAACAGATGTCCTTTTCTAGCTGCCATCTGAGACGCCGGAAAACTATTCTCTCCCCAACCTTACACAAGTATCATGGGATACACGCTAAGTGAGGCTGGTCGATAGCTTGAAGTTTGTGCTCGTTCTTTATTCGGATTGTGGATTGGGTTACGGTGGCCTCTCTCCACTGGTGGGGAAAGGAGTGTGCATTTCAAAGACAGTTGAATATTCTCAGTAAATTCGAGGTACGAGTGGGGTAAATTCTTAATCAATGCATGCGGAATGCTGGCCGGATCTGGACTGGTGTTGTGGCGTGTTCCACAAAGACAGACTGAATCGTTTATCGGATCATGCTGAGGATTTGTTTCGCTAGGGTTATTCCGATGAACCCTAAAGTCACTTGAGTTTAAGGCAGATGTTTCAAAAGGTCTGCGACTTCCTGGGTATATTAAATGTTCGGAAAGAATGGAGGTAAGGACATTTTCCGAAAATGATTCTGACTTCCACGCAGTGGCCGACATCTTGTTGATTGTCTCTTTTTACTTTCTTAACCGTACAACGAGCTACAGCACTATTTTTTTAAGAGGATCTTATTTTCTTCACTGGGGTTCTTTCGATAATTGCGGAAAGCTTTTTTAGCGTCCTTAGTAGGTGTTTTATACTCAGGGTTCCACCAAGGTAACAATTTGCGTATCACTTTTTCAGAAGATATGGGGATTGATTCGTTGGCTGCTGCTGGATAACATCGAAGAAGGATTCTGTTTTATCATTCGCCTTGTTTAGCAAAGCAGTTCCGATATTTTTCCCAGTCCGCGTTCTTTATTATCCATTTTGGAGAGTAATTTGGATTTGGCATACGTTCGTTAGCCTTTATGAAGTTAATTATCCGGTAGTGGTCACTGTTGAAATTAACTGTCCACGTGAGGTCAATGACAATGTTAGATTATGCAAAAGTGAGGTCAATGGAGGTGTGACGGTCTCAAATGCCATCGAGGTGGGTACTAGCGCCTCTATCAAGGAGGTTGATCTGATCTTGGTCGTTGTACCACTTTTCAACAATTTTGCGGCGTTGGTCGCTGGTATCAGACCCCCATAAAATATTATGGGGGTTTATGGGGGTTAAAGTCTCCACAGAGAATTAATAGTCCAGGGAGCTGGTTTATAACTTCTTCGTGGTCCGAGGAAGTGGTTCGTTATTTGGGAGATACACACTGCATATAGTCATCGGTTGGGCTGATTGTACTCTTAGGGTTCTAGGGACGTATTGAGACTATGCTCCATTTATCCTTGGCATATACTGCTACTCCTCCCCTCGGATTGTGGCACATGATTCTTCTTTAAAATTTGTCTCTTATAGACAGATGCAATCGCAGTTTGACTTACTAATAAGTAATAAGTAGCTCGAGAAACTCTTTGCTTGGCGTAAAACCCGTTGATATTTCATTGTCTAAGTTAAAATTCTCGTGTTTACGTCGAGTTTAGGTGAAATATGTGGTCGTTTGATATCATTTGAGGATGTATACTGTAGAAGTGTAGAGCATTGGTAAGAGTTGTCGCTCAGAGGGTTTCCTCCTATTCGGCTGATGATCCGAGTAAAACGATGCTTTTGTTTTCTGGTCTCCAGTTTTGTAGCAACATTTATTTCAGGGCGTTCGAGTGTGCCCGGCTTCCCATTAGAGGGTCTGTCTGTGTCTAGTTTGGTGATTCGGGACAAGTCTTCGCCAAATGCCCCTCTTGTTTTGCAATTAACGCACAACATCAAGTCAAAGGAGGGGTAGATATAGCTTCACAGCGTTGTAAACATCGATGAGGGTGCCTGCAATTTCCTTAAACTTCTTTTAAAGAAAACCCCAATGGACTGTATGCTTGATTCTTAGAAATGATTGCGCTTCCCATCCGTTTTCTTGCTAACAATGTTAATCAGGGCGTTTCATTTTAATCCAAAATGGATGTATTTGGAAATTCACTCTTAGCTTCCAAACATATCTCATTTTCGAAGCGTTCATGGAATCAGCAGTCGCCATTGGCACCTTATACCGTTAATCAAGAAAATCAATAGACCGTACGATAGAAGAATGTCTCAATGTAATTAGGACGGCCTCTTTGTTCACAAATGTAACTATCACCATCAAAATGTAAATGTCTAATATACTGAGACAAACTAACGTTGTTATTCCCCTTGAATTTCTCTGGATTTCCCCGTATTTCCCAAATCTAGATCAGGGTTTCTTTTAAGCTCTTTGGGTCTCCCTTGGATTTTGTTCTTTCGGAAACCGAAGTCTTCTCCATGAAAACCACCCAATGCCCTCAGTCACTTTTTCTTTAATTTTGTTAATCCATTCAACAGCAAACAGTTTTCATTATGTTTGGCTTTTAATATTAGGACTTTAGACTGGTCACTTGCTGCATTTATTTATGTATGTCACGAATCGCAATGTTTTAATTACGCCAGTGAAACCACAGTATATAATATTACGTCCCATCAAGATTTATATTAGGCGAAGAACTCGAGACTGACTGTAGTAGACTCCGGTGAATTTCACGCAATACTGGGTTTTTGCAGATATCTAGCTTTTTAGGTTAAGGTGTGGGTGATGATAAATGCAGAGTGTTTCCAAATAAATGTATATTTATTATGCTGCTCAATGAAAACACAGTCACAATATCTCGATCGACCAGACTAAGCGATAGCTTGCTGGAAGTCGAAACAATTGCTGTACACCAAATAGTAAAATTGTCTAATGTAACATGGATACTGCACACGCTAAATAAAACAAAAGCAACGTTTGGAAGGTGCTGCTCGCACACCTATGAGTACTTTGTACGTATATAGTATAATAGTATGCGTCGCCACGCCTCATTCACACACTTCCCAAAGGCGCGGATCCCGCCAACGGCCAACTATATATTATATATAAATTTTTATATACAAATTTATTTAAAAATTCCTAAACGTTAATTTCCTTAAATTTATAAACCTAAAAACTCTACAATAATTTTTGTCCATACCAAATTTTGATTCACACCAATATAAATATAAAAATACTTTAAATTCTTACACATATAAACTTTTGGGCCGCCGTCGGGAAGCGCGAAACGAAATAAATTTTGAGCTATCTCGATTTTCACGTTTTTTTGTACTAAATATACAATCTTATTTCGATTCTCTATCGTTTACGCGATGCCTAACCTTAATAGTTACTGATTTATCGGAGCCTGTGGCTGTGGCGGTGGTCAAAAGCACCAGCGACTATGACCTAACGCACTCGACAACTAACCACTGCTTTTACCAAATTTTTTTATAACTCAAGTTGTCCGCTCATTCATTGCCTCCAAATTAACATTAGTAACAATTGATCTAACCACAGACCTCGTCCACGCTCATCGCTTTCTTGATCATCACTCTTCTCTTATGTTACAATAGCACATCTTACACTAATATTTTATTACAATAACTACCATTTCTGTACATGGATAATATACCAATTGTTATACTTCTGGATAAGAGAAGAATGATTCCCGATCACTGACATTATGACGAGCAAGCTTTCGAAGTCCGCACCATGGAGGTTGCAACATGGAAAAACGCTTGTAATAGTGAATAGACCCATTTCCACGGCACAACCTCCATTAACAACGGAAGGTAACTACAAAACCATAACTTAACAAATTACATTAACACAATACATCAAAAACGCCATTATAATCAGCACGGCTTCGTAGAGCGTTCCACAGACAAACAGATCTTGAGTTAACAATAATTTTAATCTAAATTCAATGGTGATTAATAGCCAAAGGAGTGGTACATTTCTTTTATTAATATATCCATACGGCATTTTTGCCATATTTCCGGAAATTTTGATGCCAAAATCCTTAAAATCCAGTGGTTATATTTGACGATTGTCATAGGAATCGTTGTCGAGTTGGAACGAGGAAGACAGAAGTCATCTGGTGACTGAAAATAAACTTAATAGGGCTTTATGGAATAAATTCGGGAACAAATTTCGAAATATTGCACTTTTTTTGTTGAAAGCTATACCATACGGAAATTTTCGAAAAGCAATAGGCCGTTTAAATTGTGTTGTGTTGCAGTTTCGGGCACATTATAGTGTTATTGCCTGAGATTTCTGTGCCTCATTATCTATACTTGTTTTAAGCATCGGTATAGTTTTCTTTCTACTTAAGCTTCAAAATTTGTTCCCACTTCTATCCTTAGAGTTTAACGAATAACAATAACAGTTAACGTAAACTGTAACATGGGTGTAACTAAAACCATCGATCTGTATGTTATATTATTATCTACTTCTAGTTCAAAGTTACTATATACCACAAATAGTAGTAGCTTTACCAAAGCTCAGGACAGCTCGGCTTAGCTTCTTAGCATAACAATATAATATTTATGAAATAACCTTATGAATTATGATATCGGGTGTCTCTTAATCAAACCGAGAAAAAGTACATCCGGCAAAGTGTGTCTTAAAGAACGCTTTGGTTGGGCATTGTGTCTATTTAGGGCCCTTACTTTGTAATTTTTTTTTTCGTAAAAACAAATTTGAAGGCACTTTTTTGACGGACGAATTGGCCCAATGTAAATTTTAAATGTGAAAGTGTTTCCGGTTAGTCGAAATTTCTAGAACTGTATAGATATTGGTTATAATTGCCTTCATTGCTTACTATTGCATCAGTTTTTGTGTGGCTCTTTAAGGACTATTTCATAATGAGAACGTTCTTTAATACAAAATTTGTCGCAAAATGAAAATTTTGGTGTGACGAAATTAATCATGCTTTACTTTCCTTGTTAACGTTGTCTCTATGTAGTTTATTAATGGTTATCACATTCAAATACGCGCTAAATTTTGATTTTCACTAAATCCTAAACAACGCTTAAATCTAAAAATCTTTGCCATAAACGTAGTGCCTCAATAAAAATATTCTCAAAATAATTTATTAAAGATATAATTTGAGCCACGCCTACAAAGTTTCCATGGATATATAAATTTTGCTTGTCTACAGATAAAATTTTGAAATTCCAACATTTTTATACACAATTGCAAAAGTTTCGTTCCTTTCATTAACTGTAAGAATGTTTCATGTGTAAATCAGGTTACCTTAACCGAGTATATAAACACCTAGTAAACTACACTGCAACGTAACAATAACGTTAACGTAACGTAGTTTGTAAACCAAAAGAGTAACTAAATACGAATTGAACGGAGACACCCGATTTTTTTACCAACAATTGTACATGTATACTACAACTCACACAAAATGCTATGTATTACATATTGGACTAGATAAGTTGATAACCTTAATGAAAAATGGTTAAAAATCGCCGGTATCTGGATGAAGAACGATATATTTATATATACTAGCAAATAATCGCGCTATAACGGTAGGAGATTTTTCGTCATAAGAAAATAGAATAAGGCAGATTTTGGTTATACACACTCATATCATTTTGCTTCAAATTTTAATTAAGGCGCAGAGGTGCTTAAAATAAGCTTGTACTTTTTTCGTGATATTTTTAGTATTTTTTTTGTTTTGAACCGGTGACCTAAACGTTTTCCGAACAGTGTTTTTTTGAAGCCTGTTAATGATATTCATCTCTTTCTGTAAAACAAAACAATCTGCTTGATTGTCACCTGCAGCGGCACGTGAAAATTAAGCAACTATATTCCTGAATGTGTGTGCATATTGAAACTTAAGCTTCCGAACACAAATTTGAACAGAAAATTTTCATAAAACCGCCAAACATCATAAATTACTGCAGTAAAATAAGACGAAGGAGTGGGCATGCATTTGAGGGGATTCCTACCTAGGAAGGATCACTATTCTATGGATCCCTTGTGAGGGAACTGCTTGGATTGACCTCAAAAATTACTTTACAGTCTCATCCAGAAAGAAATGTAGTTCCTCCGTGACCTTACTCAGGCCTTTTCTGAATTCATCTGTCCGAATTGTCTTTAACAATTCATTTGGTTGAGTCGCCATCTTGCGATTAATGAGTCATTGAATGAGGCAAGTTACACTTGCAAATGTTTGTGCGATAAAGGTCTGATTAACTGGATTTGAGTATAAAATAAGGAATTGTCAAATCCAACAGTAATTTTGAGGTCTTACATATTTGTCAAACTTTTCGGGACAATTATAATAATTCATAAGAAGTAACCTGATTGCATTGGATGGTATTGTGTTATTCGCCCGCCATTTCGTTTTGTTATTGCGAAACATTGAGAAGTTTCTTCTTATTTATTATTAGAATGAATCCACTTAGTCAAGTTATATCTGCAGGATTTTTGCACTAAGCTTAAAAATTTCAAAAATAAAGCACTCGGGTATTCGCTTCAAGTTCCCTTCGCCCCTTGACGTTGGCTTCTAAATTTTGTACTGTGCAGCCTACTTCGCTATTATTTATGTTACAAATTAATTATCGAGTATGTGCAATTTCTATAACTAATTTGACTGTTGCATTGGGTTATATACTATATACAAGAAGTAAACGTGAATCGCTGCATTGGTTTTTGAAGAAGCGGCTACTATTTTTGGAAGCCAACGCCAATAGTACGTTACAACGATAACGTTAAAATTTATTAACTTTATAACATATAATTATATATTTTTTTCGGAACGTATTTTTGTAAGGTACTCTTCGTAACTTTTAGGTCCCAAGATTTCTAAAACAAAATCTTCAACAAATCTTCTTTATAAATTTCCAAACGATTAATTTTGTTAACGAAACTGATCCCATTAACTTTTCAAAACAATCTAAATAATCATAAACGAACGGCAGTCTTTAGAATTTCGGCAGTTTCGTAATATAGGAACAGCAAAATCACATTTTCTGTACATTCAGGCAAGGATCAAACTATCTTGGAACCTTTTGCTGTCTTTTTTTACCGTATTACGGGACAAGAAGGAATACATTGCGGATTTATATACAAAAGTGCATTGAGTAAATTGCTTTCGCCAGTTTAAAACTAATCGGCTTGCCCTGTAAACTGTATCATGTATCTAGCTACAAAAGAAAAGAAAAAAAAATAAATCAAACAAATTAATTTATTGACTAGTTTCCTCACACAGTGTTTGCGAGATCGTGTACAGTCTAAACTAAAATTGGTGCTAAGTGAAATAAAATTTCCTAAATTAAAAAATTATATTAAACAGGCAGGAGCCCACAAATAGACATATTTAAAATAAATAAGATTAATCTGAACGTAGGTACAACTTAAAAAACTAAAGGAGGTGTCCACAATTTAATTACAACTTAATATTAAAAATAAATATATACAAAAAAATTAATGTGCATCGATTAGTACACGTAATAAATTAAAGGGGTGAGGGCGCGTACCTATTTAATATAACTGAACAAAAATTAAAACAAATGCTCGTGAAATTTAATAAATTTCACAGGCATTCTATAAACTAATGCCGTTTCATCACTTATATTTAATATAAGCGAGAAACGGGGCAGTAAACGAAATCAAAAGAACTTAGGAAGACAAAACTGTCCTAAATTTTTTCAAGTTATTGTCAAATTCGAATAAGATTAATTACAACCAAAACGTACCGAGGTTTTGATACGTTTAAGTCGTGGACTAGCAAAAATAATAGCTTTGGTTAAGAAAGTTTATAAATAGTATAATATATACATTGTTACTATTTACAAGTGCCTGAGGTTGGTTTAAAAACGTTTCGGTACAGTTTACAGCGACTTAAAGAACGAAAGGAATTTGCCAAAAGTAAACGAAGTGTGCAGATATGTAACTTGCCGACTGCTGGATAAACGAACTGAGGACTTGACCTTAATAATGCTATCAGGTAAAATGACTTCAATGATCAACTGTAATCACTGAGATAATTGATTGATTATAAATCTTATGTTTCACTGTTCGTTAAGACGAACGTTAGCCTGAGGCAAGATTAACCGTAATAGTTTTTGTTTACTGTCAACTTAACACATTTCTTTTAAATATAACAATGTCCAGAATGTTCCCGAAGACGCACAAATTCTTCAAACGTAAGAGAATCTTCAACATCTTCAAACTCATTCTTTAGTTCCAAAATACTAAACAATAAAGCGTTGACAGTTTATAGGAAGGTTAACTAACGCACACGTCACCGATTCGTTGGTTAACCGTAACTGCCGTTTACGTAGCCGTCACGATTAATTAGCAACCTGTGGTGTTGAAATACAGCTAGAGATTTGGCGAAGGAACCGTCCCTCGCCATAAAGCAGTACGTTACCCTGAGGTAACATATTACTCGAGCTGTTCTAAAAAATTTGGAGATTTAAAATATTCGGGAACCGGATCGTCCAGCCTGGAAATTATTTTGTAAATTGATTTCTTCCACGACTGTTCGGCATCGCGACCTTCCTGGATTGCTTTGAAAAATTCGCGAAGCGTTTGCTCCACAACAAACCTAAAGCTCGACGGAACCTGAAAACAAACCGCGCGTAAGACTCTCGTCCGACGAAAGGTAACGCAAAATAATTTTGGCAGTGATATTAGACTTGCGAGAAATATCAGAGCCACAAACCTGAGAGCCCCATACCTCGATGTGATTGTTTCGGTTGTAGTGCAAATTAAGCACCCTGTACAATTCCGAATCTCCACTGACGTGTAAATCGTCGGCGTTTTTCACCCCTTCCGATACTGCCTGTCTTGCGTATTTTTCCATTTGGATGTAGTAGAACTCCCTGGAAACAAAATAATTATATTTAAAACCCCAAAAAACAACAATTAGAATTATATAAAATCAGAGGCCGTTGCTCATTTATCAGGTGATGCGATTTACAGTTAGCTGGCTTGGTAGGTGTATATTTTGCAATGTAGAGAATAAGAGATGAACTGCAGTGTTAACTGATACGTCACACTACTCGTACATTAACTTAACGCAATACGTGAGATATGATCGTAGTATAATTGCCACTTTATCGATGTAGATGCCATTATATTATGTAACCTGTTAATTCCACGACTTTTTTTAACAAGCCAGAAGTGTTTCGCATACTTAAATTAGCAACTGTTCTTCCTCTTCGTTTTTGAAGCCTGAATTACCACCGTAGATGTCAATAAATAGGCTTTTATAAGTGCGTTTCGCTGTTTTTACCTTCGTTACTTAATTATGAACAATCGTCTCCGAATCTATCTACGAACATTTTACGAGACAATGAAAAGTGTACCTATGTCGTTAATTAGGGTGGTTACTTTGATGCAGTTTTTGCGTCCGATGTTTTTATAATATATATTCTTGCAGTGGGAGGTTATGCGCCTGAGGGTGGTAAAATGCAGTCTTTTCTTTGCATGTAACTGCAGACTTACTTTGAGATTTAATTAGCAACATTTTAAATTGCATGATCTAAACTGTACTGGATGTTTTTCCTCAATGTTATGTTCTATTATAAAAAAGATCTTAGAAGCCTATAGAAAGGGCTACTTTTAAAATTGATTGAATTGAAGCTACCATTAACGAAACCTGCTCATCGCTTAATATGCGTACCTAAAGTTTGGGTAGCGTGAGTTTCTGGTGATAAATGAGGTCTCATGTTATAACATGTCATTTATTACCTATGTTTATGTATTTTACCGACTTAAATAACATTGAGGAAAAACGGCACAACGTCATATTTACAGTGTTTAAGTACGTGGAATCTAATATACTTATATTGTAATAAATTCAAGCATATGGAAGAGTTTCACAAAGGAATGCAAAATACCGATAATACGTAAAAGTATACACAACGTAATAAGCTCCAATTGAAAATACAAGTGTTTATCTTGACAGTTCTAGTGCAGATATCCAGTATATGGAAGCTGGACACAACAAGAAACATGAAATAATTAACTTATTTCAAAATCTCAAGAAAGTATGGATCATGACATACCTACCAAAAATAAAATTGTATAGGTTTTATACAGCCATTTTTTTTTAATGTACCTATACATATTATGGGCTATGTATACTTGAAAAATTCGTTAAGACGCTTGAGAGCAAGAGGAGAAGAGTGCACTTTCAAATTTGTTTTTTCGATTTTAGTAGCCTTTATGGACATTTCATGCCTTAACGAGAATACAAACATGAAATAATTTTTAATTACTGATCGAATGACACCAATACCAAGTCTATGTCTAAGTGGTGTAAGTCCGGAGTCTTTGTGAATCAGGCAGACAGACAGACATCAAGAGCGAACAAGTGCCCGTTTGATTTTTTGAAAGTGAAAGTGCACTAAAAAAAATGGATCAAATGCATGGAATAGATGACAATAATAGGCAAACAACTCTACACGAATTTGTTTTTAATGATAATCTGCGTCTGCTATGGAAACAGTAAATTATTTTATTTGTTACTCAGTTGTAAACGTTGATTAACAAGACAAAACGCAAACGGGTAAACGTCATGTTTAAACGCTACTGACTTGTAAAACTGACAGCAGACTTGTAAAACTGACAGCAGACCTGTAAAAATTTTACAAGTTAGTAATCTAGTAATTTCATTGGCCAGAATTAATGCGAAGTCTCTGTTACATGGATAACATGATATTTTAGACATTTCTTCAAGATTAATTTAAGAACTAATTATTTACGTTTACTATTGTTTACAAATGAGTAACAAATAAAATATTGTACATTATACGCCAGGTAATAGTTTTTACTGGCTCTAGGAGATGACAAGCTCGCCTAACGGCTCGCTAGTCAACTTCTCCTATCGCCAGTAAAAACTCACCTACCTGGCTAATAATGTAAAATACTATAATGTCACATTAGAGCTCTTTTACACGGGGATACTGTATACGAGTTGCAGTATCCAAGAATACAGTCTGTCGTCAGAATTCGTGTCGCAAACTGCTCTTGCGCAGTGATGTACTTTTTCGGCGAAGTATTTTCATTGCTATTGAAAAGTGTCCTCGTTTTTGTTTTGGCTGTGTTCTTTCAGAGTGTGAAGTCAAAATTATTCTGGTGCACCCTTAATTGATTCTAAAAGAGTGTCGGGTTTTTAAAAATAAAAAAAAATGTCATTACTAAAACTAAACTAGACAACTAACAACCTAGCGAAACTATTCACAATCTGAATTCAACCGAAATTCTTGGCTGAACAAAAAAAAGACTCCTTCTGGGGGTAATAATAGACGGCAATACAGAGAAGTGCTTGCCACACTCCATCCATGGAATAAAACGTCGCTAGACGTTCTCACTAACACGGGGCGAATTTCATTTCGCGTTATTTTTAAAATTTTCGAAGAATAAATTTGGTTCTTAAATTTTCATGTTCACCAGACCCACATACCAAATTTCATCCAGTTCTGAATATTTTTTATCATTTAGATTTCCAGGCGCGCCATTTTGAAGTACGAGTTCTTGAAAAATAACTTTTAAAAATGTTGTGGATGCACAACCTTTTATTTAGCGACGTAGGTACTTCCAAAAAAAAACATGTCTGTCATTCTGAAAAAACCTTTTCTACAATGTGAGTCTTTACGGATATCTTATAAGCCACGCGTGGGGCATGTTATGGAGACAAAACATTGGGAGGTAAGTTTAATCCAAATTCCCAAATTTTATACCTACCAAAAAAACGTTGATTTTGTAGTGCCGGAAATGGCTTAAGGGACTGTGTAAAGGTACTGTGGAGTGAGATTTGTGACACAGCCAGGATTTTTCCCGCATTTAAGAAGGCCTTTATTATTTAAAGAAACTTGATTCTGTGAAAAGATGAACAAAGGTGATGAAAGAGAAACTTCAATTGCAACCAATTGGAGAAAGGTGGAGAACTAAAATTGGGATTTATTATTTACTTAGTTTTATCTGTAAGATCAGTTTTACGCTTGATAAACTCCCATTCCCATAGTATGTAACCCTGGTAATATATTTTACAAACGGAAAAAGATTATTCAAAACACGAAATGGGAAAAATTAAAGGATTAAGTAATGAAGGGAGAGAATGACAGAAAGCGCTTACAGAAAAAAAATAATTATTATAGGTACTTTGTTTTTGAGTAATAGGAGTCTATTTAATGTTATTTTCAAGCCTAAAGAGATTGTTATAAGAAGCTTAAATGGAAACGAGAACATAGCTACGTAAGTGCTGCATTCTTTGGGATAATTTTGAAAACTTCTCAAATTTTTGTTTCCAAGGGGTACCTATTTGTGCCAGTTTAAAAGTTTAAAGTGATAATCAGGAGAAAGAAATATTTAAATAAAAAATAAATTTTTTTCCCGTCTGTGGCAATTTTCAGAGATAAGGGCTTTACGAAATTTGTTCAAATTTTGGACGAAAAATTACAGGCCGGATTTTTGAAATAAAATGTTGGACCACCGCAATGGCATCGAACTTTTTGTCTCATAATAAGCATAACCATTGAATTTACGTACTTACTTTTTCATTGCTTATAAATACTGAAATTTTGGCGTATTCAGTTTAACTAGGAGAGAGCTAAGTGTATGTGCCATATTTTTATTTACATCCTAAACGAAAAAGAATTGCGTAGGGGTAAACGAATGGATGTACTTTTCACAGGGTGATTGTAAAAGAGAAGAAATTAATTTTTATAAGTCGGTTTGCGCGCATTTCGCATGAGATGGAAAGGCAAGTAGTTTTTCTCAAATTTTCCATAACAAATATTTATGCCTCAAATTTTCTGTGCGGCCACATTCAAACATACATTCAATTCAATTACAAGTACACGTTTTTGCTTCGCTAATATCGATTATGACACAACTCAATGGAACTACACAAATTCAAGAAACGCTATCATTAGAAAATTACGAGTTTCAAATAGGCACTAGATGGTTTTCAATATTTAGAATCAATAATGAAAAGCAACAGTTGTCTGAGTGTAAATAATGAACAGGTCGGTACTATTGTCATATTAATTATGTAGGTTCAATTGGTCTATAATTGCTAGTTAATTTAATCAGGATACCGCCCAATCGATAATCGAATAACCATTTCAATTTTTCTGAATCGTCTATGAAAGGGGAAAGTTTTGCAAGATGAATAATTTGTAATAATCTACGGGCGATTTTCTTTGACCTGCTTTAGGTTCACGCCCGCATTTCTTACACTTACTTATTTTTAAAATGAAACACCTGCCTACTTTCAAAAATTCTAATTCTGGTTTGAAGCGTTGAATGCAAGAAAATATTCGCACGGGACCCTCCGTATAAGAAATCTGCACTTTCCCACAGGTAAGTTTTAACGGTTTACTTTTGGCGGTCACAAACGTCTTAAAGGTAAAGTACGTTGAAATATAACAAAAGATTTAACATCTGCTTTTTGATCTACCCTCCCTAAGTTAAAACGTCTTTGATTTTCTTAAGACCCTTTTTAAGAAATGCTCGTGCCAACCTTAAGACGCGCGTTCAGGGATGTACAAAGTTGAAAGTTTGTTTCGTATTAAAACAAATAAATGCGTGATTAAATCCCGCGATTCAGGTCTAATAGGCCCTTGCAATCGAACTGATCTAATAAAGCAAAGTATCCACACGATTAATTACAAAAAAAAAAGGTTTGTATATCCCTAAAAGTGGAAGAAAAATAGGACACATTAGGAGTCCCATCATAGAAAAAAGCACACGCTGTTTGAACAATACCGGTATAAGCGAGAAGGGCAGATGTTCACGGCAATTGCCGAAAACCGTTATGATAAAGCCCTTGTAAGAATGCACCCTTCGTGTTTCTAGTATCTGACTAAGTGAATATTTTTCCATTTTGTTATTTCACTAACCTGCTGGATGACAATGGGAAGCTTGTTAATATTCAATTTGGTTATTTCTAGTTTAATAATTGAAAATAAAACCACAGCAGTTAAGGTTGCTTTTCGCATTATTATAAATTGCTGGTAAAAGTAAAGCACCAATTATTTATTATAGAGAATAGTCGTTAGCGGATTTGTAAGTGTAATTAATAGCTATATTTGTTCGTTGCTTTGCTAAAATGAAGGGTTCCCAAACCAAAAAGAAGAAAATTGTGTCAGATATTTATATTCTCTTTAATACATTATCAGGGATTAAATTTGTTTTTCTACCTAGCAAAGGATAATTCAATTAATAATCGTGTTAGAAAATATTTCCATCTATATTTTGCAGGATTTATTTGCTTGCGCCCAAAAGCTTACATAATCATCAAGAAATCTAAACATTGGCCCGTATGAATAAAAGTAAGCAAATGCTATACTTGAAAAATTCAAAGTAAATACTCGTAAGTGCTCCTTCGCATTGGGTGACTTAATAGCACTGCTAAGCAGAAGGACAGGACGCAGTGCAGCGCTGCTAAACAAACCAGTATAAAGGAACACTTACGAGTATTTACTTTGAATTTTGCAAGTATAAACATTTGCTTATTTTTATTCATACGGGCCAATAACTCGATGTCAATATCTTGAGGGAGTTGCGGTGGAAGAGAAAATGGTTTCATAATCGTATGTTTTTAAAATTTTAAAAATTAACATGTTGACGCTTTCCATGCATAACAAGATACGAAGCATCGCATACGATTTTTAGTAGGGGGATTTTTTGTCACTCCGCTCGTATTCCGAAACCATACTTTTGATCCGGCTCATATTCAATAGCACTGATCCGTAAACTCGTAGAAATCGATTAGCGAAGGTTTTACATCGCTGTCTTTTCGTTTTCTGCGAATATAGCAAGAAATTTATCGAATCGAATAGTAAATAGTTTCGATATCCATTAAATACAACTGAACTGACCAATGTTTCTTCATCATTGTCATATTTGACGAAAATTGCTTTCTTTTAAGCTCCTTTTTGGGAAATTTATTTGTAAAAAGGTAGCTGACTGGCTAGCAGCAAATGCGGGCCCGTAGAAGAACGCTCGCAGAAAGACATGTACTTACCGGGGCCGTGTAATTAACTTTAAGGGGCTACATGATATGGGGTCGGCGACATTTGGGCGCCATTCCCGAGCGTGATGTACTAACGTGGTGATTTTTCAGTTTTTTCCTATCTCCTTCTATGTGGTCCGATTGTTTTCAAATTGGTGTTGTGGGAAAGACGCGCACAACTCCTGCGTGACGGTATTTTTTTTCCTAGGAGCGAAATTAACCACCTTTTGTAAGCCGCGCGTCTTCGAGGGGTAGTCGTCTTTAGGCGCCAAAGTTTCTTAGAGCTTGAACCGCAGTCGCCAATAGAAGCTCGAGCTATGAAAAGCGCTCCAAAAATTGAGTACTATTTTGTGGAGGGTTTTTATCGAAATTAACAAAATCTTACATTCTTACTGATGGTGGTGTCATAACTTCAAACGCGAATTGCGGGTGAACAGGACGTCGGAAGTGGGTACAGATAGAGGGAATATTTAAAGTAGAATCAACTTATCAAATTGGCATCGGTGCGCGAATTTTGGGGACCCTAATTGCCAGTTTTCTTGGCACCTTGTTTGATTCTACGTTTTTTAGGTGTAACGCATAGAGGTTTAATCCGTTTGATAGGTACAGTTAAGGGTGTATGAGCAGGTACGGAAACGCCTAATAACGATTTCTTCAAAATTAACATGATTAATATGTAGATTTTTTACTTGTTTTATATATTTCTTTTTTATTTATTTAAACCTAGGGAACTTTAGCCTATCTAAATATTCAATAATTTTTTTATGAGTATATTATGTGTTTACGTTTTTTAGGTGGATTATTTTGTATATTTTTCACTTTTTTTATATATTTCTTTTTTTTACTTAAACGTAGGCAACTTTAGCTCGTTACCGATATGAAAAATTAATATATATATAACTTGGAAGGAATTTTTACCTATTTCTTTGAATTATGTTATATTTTAAGAATGTTCACACTATTTCTATAACATCTTCAATAGCTTGCAATCTTAAAACCAGGTGCCAATTTTTGACAGAACAGCTTCCAGAAATTAAAAAACCTGTTTTTGACGATTATGCTAGATATACACTGCCAAAATTTTAACGAAATCATTTTCTCTCCGGTTTTTTGTAATAAAATCCATTATAGTTTTTGAAGGTTGTACATAGAAGAAGCAAGTTTTTCTTATATCTTGATAAAAATTTTGCGTTGCCATTAAAAAAAAGTTGCATGACGTCACGGCGTTAAAAAGGCAAATATTAAAGAAAACGTTTTTGAGAGCCTTACATCCTTTATGCCTAAATAATGTACACTGCCAATATTTTAACGAAAACAAAATAAAAAATTTTAGATTGACATTTTTTGTACATAGAAAAATAAAGTGTTTCGAATAATTTAATAGATAAACATTCTGCGTTGCTATTTAAAAAAAGCTCGGTGCCGTTGCGGTGCTCCAAAATTTTTTTCAAAAATCCGGCCTGTTATTTTTCGAAAACCCAAAATTTGAACAAAATCCGTCGAGCCGGTATCTCGCAAAGTTGCTAACGTTGATGTACGTACGTACGTACTACATACATATACACAGACGGAAAACAATTTTATTGATTAAAAGTTGCTTAAAATGATCTAAAAAAAACGTCGCGACATTTGACGAAATTTTGACAATGTCCAAAAAATGGTGATCGCTATAGCCACCTAGAACGCAAGAAAGCTAAAAATTCATATTTAATTATTTTTTAATCCAATTCCTGGAAAATAAACTGGGGTAACTAAATAGATAAATTGTAACAGTTTATAAAAAGTTAGAGAATCCATACAAACAAATGAAATGATTGTAAAACCTGTGCCTTTATGAAAGAAAATCCTTGCAATTAGAATGTAGCAACACCTACAATTTTCTTAAGTCTTTGTTTACCAAGTCTTTATATACACGCACACATTTAGAGAATGATAAACAGTTTTTTAATTTTCCTGTTTACTATAACTCATATTTCAGTAGAAAATGGCTAGGAATGAATACACGTTTTAACTTCTTAATGACTAATTTCACGTCAAAGCTAATGAGCTAAAGAAGGACAGATTTAACTGTGTCCACGCATGGGAACAAGGATAACGATGCCAAAGAAAAATGCTAACCTCGCTAATTAGTCTCAAGACCTTAATTAAGTTATTTTTAATTGAGGAATATGTGGAATAAAATTCTGTGCTTCTGACGACCCTTTCTTTTTAAAAAGCTCGCGATAACAATAGGCAATCGGAGGAAATTGTATATTTACATTTATTGACGATAATTATTGGAAGTTAATCAAGCGCTCTTAATTAAGGTAGGTAACGGCATGGTCAAGAAGGTGGATTTGACTTGTGCATCAGGAAAGGGCGGGGTGGTGTGGTGTTCCGTGGTCAGAGCGCGACTACTAACGTTCATTTCCGGCAATTCCTGCAGTGCCTGGACATTCAATTTTATCATTCCACCCTCAGACTACGTTCAAGCGCGTATCTATTCTTTCAGGTAGATTAAAATACAACTTGAGACAAATCTTTGAGAAATTGTTCAGGAAATTTAAGTACGCGTGTTATTTGTTTGAGTTTTCATAAGGATAACCGAAGCATATGAAAAATTGTACCCCGCGCATTTTTTGTTGCGGCTTTAGAAGCTGAATGCTTGTTCAATTAACTGTTTTTTAATTAGTGCTTGGAAGTTTCAGCAAAAATTAATAATTTCACAAGAACAATTATATTTTGTAACGAGGTAAAATTCTGTAATTAAAACTACTTTAGTAGCTTTTACAATAAGAAACATAAAACGAGGGGGGGAGGGTGAGTGCGTTTTTTAATCGAGCACTGTATATTATCTACAATCGTATACTGTAGGGGGTAACTTTTATTGTTGAGGCAGATCAGGGGTTTAAACGTATTCGATTGATTGAGTCATAGTGACTGTATCTCTTGTTCTCACACGCGCTTTTCAGAGATATTCGGGGGAATGCATGTAAAAACTTTTCCGGCAGTTTTCATTTGAAAGCCGGTAACGAATGAATACATGGAAACTAGCAAATGAAACGGGAATTCTTTGTTGCTTGAACCGCTACGTGTATATACGTAGGCCTTTGGGCAAAATGAGCAGTTCATGTAAACAGTGTCGCCAAATAACTTCTAGTCTAAAATATCGTCTAATTTAAGAGAGCTTGGACTTACCGAAAATTTGAGAACCACTTGACCAGCTGCGCTGTATTATTTTTGTTGAACTTGATGTCGGGGAAGTACATTTTGAGAACCGCTGAGCTCGGATACCGGACCCAGAAGAACATTAATTTTGCTTTCCTGAGATGCATAGGTGTCAATGTTGACGAGTGCTCTGAAGTTAAGGAAACTTCTGGCTAAAGTGCGAATAAAGAAACTGTAATAGGACACGCTTCGGTTTTCCGTTGCATTGTTAATTTGAATTGGGGGTACTTCTATGCAAAATTCAAATTCTTAAAATAAGCGCATGCAATAGTTCACACGATTTCCTAGTTCTCACAATAAATTATTCATTTTGGCCTATAACATCCTCGTTACAACAACACCAACCTGTAATTCTATTTAAGTTGAAATTGCATGTCGATAAAACGACTTTATTTCAAAGAACTTAGTTGTTTTTCTACGTTGGTGTATAGATTTTTTTTCCTATAGATAGAACGGATTTGGTATCCTTATAAGGTTTCTTATTCAGATTGAATACAATTAGATACTAGATAAGCAAGCCTTATCGAAAACTTTAACTTTAAGTCATGGGTCTAAAAGAAGACCTCTAAGTTTAATCTGGTTTCAATAAAAATGCAGGAATTGCATTCCTGCGTTCCATTATTGTTCTAAGCTTTTGTACCGATTTGTATGGAATAAAAAATTAATTGAATTGTAACCGTTAATATAGCTTTGATTCGCAATTATTCGCTCTATGAGTGCATTAAATAGAAACAATAACGCGAAACTTTTACAAACTTTCGTGTATATAGTTTCCCCCAAGCAATTCAAAAATTGAATATATAAACGTCGAAAAATACTAACAATTCTGCATAAAAAGGATATTGTAGGCTGCATGCCGTCGTAGGATATGTCGCCGCCCGAGTTGCAATCCGAATTCCTATCACCGTTGTCCATATTTAAACCTCCGGAAGGCGCTCTGATGTGGCCGTAGTCGGGTGAGCCACCATGCTGGGCTGCCGCTAGTAGCGCGGGGTGAAGTAGGGTCGGGGGGTGGTGTATTGGTGGCGATTCACGTTCCATCTTGTGCATTCGTGGAGGTGAAGAGGGCGTCTGAAAAGTTTTGCTTAAATTTGATGGAGAACGACATGGTTGTTACAATAATTACCTGCATCGCCATGTGGTGCCCGTGGCTTGGCCCATGAAAAAACGGGCTATACGGCGAGAAAACCTGAGATTCGTGTAGGCCTGGGTTGGGGATGGCCACGGATGTTGGTAGTGAGACGGGTAGCATCGGTGGGGGTGGCTGAGGGTAAGGGGGTGGCCTGGGTGACGTGCACGGTGTGGGTTCCATAGAAGCCGGGGACATTCCCATGCCATCCTGGCCGAGGATTCTGCTGACTGTCCTGGGCGTTATTCTTGTGTCTGTCACCTTGTGCCGCTTCTTCTTAGGTGTGACGACTAAACTGAGCGCTTCGTTCTGCTCGCTTTCTTGTTTTGTCACACAAAACGGATGATTCATACTGTACAGGGGCACCTGGTTAATACCCGGAGGCTTAGGCGGCTGAAACATCGGCGGCCGTACAGGAAGATCTGACGATTTATGATGATTATTTAAATGATGTGTCGACATTATAGGATGATAGTTACCGTGACCGTTAACCATGGGATTGTTCGGTGGTGGAGGCGGCGGTGCGTGCGGCCTTTCGATCGGTTTCTGTTTAGGTGATTTTCTATCTAAAAGTTGTGACGCCATAATCAAATCCTTATTTAACTGCTCGGCGGCGGCTGTGCCCTCATTGCTTCTGAATTTTCTTTGATGCACAAATCGGGTGACAATTGAGTCGATCAGGTTAGATAATGAAGCTGTTATTTCAGTTTTTAGAACATCGGCGAGGCCTTCAAGATCAGTTCCTGTTGGTGTTACGTTACTTTTAATCATACTGAGTCTTTCGGTTATATTTTCGGTTTTAGATGGTGGTTGATGATGCTGATGATGGGCTTGACTTTGTGCTTCGGAGACAGCGGCCGCGACCGCCGCCTCCTTCGCCATACGCGCTTCTTGCTCTAGTAAAAACTTCTGACTCACCCCCAGGTACATTGCAGCTGCGTTGCTCAGATGATGGTGTTCGTGTAAGAGGCCGTTGTGAAACGGTGGGCCAGGAGGACTTATTTTAAGCTTACTAACTTGCTGGGAGAGGGTTGGCTGTGGTTGATTCGGCGTCGCTATCGAACGAACTGGTGAAGCTATGGGAGATCGTTTGCTTTGTTCACTATCACTAGGTATCTCCTCAACTTCCCTACTGTCTTCGCTGCTTTGTTCCATACGCGTACACAATTGTACGTATTTCTGCTGCATTTCCGCTAACTGCTCTTGCATTGTCCTTAATTGTGTTTTAAGAGCGTTCTTTTCCACCTGCTTTTGCCTTAACGGCTCCGTTTCTTCTTCCTCGTCATCAATATATCGATCGGCGGTGCTATCATGTTGTTGCGGTTGATAAAGCTTGCGCTTTTTACATCCGTTTACCTGAGGTGGAGCTGGACTTGAGCGCATCCCTGAGACGATATTCTCTACACGCGCCTTCTTTGCGTCTTCGGGTTTGGCGGGACTGCGAGGTTCAACTTTCGGGGATGGTAACGAATCAGTCTCCATACCGTTAAGTGCGTCTTCCATAAGATCGACCTGTTGTCGTTCACCAACACCGGCTTCCGCGAGACACTCTTGCATAGCCACAGCCGCTTCTACGTCGCCGCGCTCCGCGTCGCCTTTCGTTTCGTTATTGTTATTATTAAGAATGTGCTCGTGATTTACCAGTAACTCGTGTTTACGCCCCTGCAATATATCCCGAAGCATATGATGCGCTAATTGCTCTCCAGAGGGAGGACTACCGTCGCACCGTATCACAGCGTCGAACTTCGTCACTTCTTCACCGTCCGCACCACTTTCCGCCTTCTGTCTACCTAACAACTCGTTTAGCATTTTAGTGGGTGCAAACCCCGGTCCAAAAAGACCGAAATGTTGCTGTTGAGTAAAAATCGCGCCGTATAAATTATTACTGCCGCCCAAAAAGCTCGGTCTCGAACTGAAGTTCGGGATCGAAGAGTAACTATTACGAGGCTCGCCGGCGTCCACGCGTTGTCTAGTTCTTTTGGATTTCTTCAGGAGTTTATCTGTGTACAAACCGAACTCTGTCTCCTCCTCCGATGACATCATAAGTTACGGCGTTATTGGTCGTCCTTTTCCCCCTCCAGATGATAAGTCCCCACTTTAAGAATAGTCGCCCATGTCAATTCCTGCAACAAACGAAGCTATATTAAGTTTTATATTAGCACTGAAAGCCCTGCGAGCCACCCGAAAGCGTACGCGTCCTCGAGGGGTTGAAAACACCTGAAACTCGACAACTGTTGATCGAGCGGCTCGCAACAAAAATGACATGCAGTCTTAAAATTTAGCTCAAATTAGTAACTAATTCAATTAATTCGGCCTTCAACATTTACATAAACTGGTATGATTCGCACGTTAACGGCAATTAAATATTCCTTTAGCTAATAAATAAAAGTAACCACGTCTAAAATTACTCTGATGGTAATTACATAAATAATTTCTGTCAGATAGTAAACTCAGTCAGTAAATTATGACCGAAAGTAATTTTAAACACATAAAGTGAATTGAATCGCGACCGTTTTTTGTGTCGCACTCAAAGCAAAGTCGAAATTACACTAAACTATGTTTACTTTGTGCTAAATAAGTAATTCCGTAATTGACGGAATTTTTATTGAATTTTTTGGTTAGGGGTAGTACGAAACCTAAAGAAGTCGTTCATGAAAGCGTTTGCCTCGAAAATATAACAGTTTGACAAAAACCGCGTCTAGAAAATCTGTACCTATACCATTTAAAAATCGACGACTTCTATACGTTTTCTAACAACACGCGATCGCGAATCGGTTTTTGTCCCTCTATCGAAAATTAAAAAAAGTGAAACGTAATTAACAGATAAAAGTATAACAAGCTCAGATAAGAATGAATAATTTTCGCAACAGATGGTCATATATTGTGAGAATTTCCAGTAAAGTACACTTCACGTGCCATATGGCATCATCTATAAGGCTAGATAACAATAAAGCTAGGGGTTAAACAATTGCTTTACGTAATTATGTTTAAGGAAAATATCGTTACCACCAGCAACTATTCGACGGGACGAAGACATTTTTTGCAAAGCACAATAGGATCCGAAATAAAGGCGCTTTATGTGGCAAGTCTTCTACAGACAACACTAATTAATAAAGTTTTTCCGAGTTTTATATAACAACTCGTCTTTCAAAAGTATACACGTTTTGCGATCGAGATTTTAAGTTAATTAGTTGTTCCGTGCCATTTAAAGAGTCTATTTTTTTCCAGTTCCCTTTGTTGTAATTCTTCTAGGTGACATCTCAGATCGTTCCTTTCTAGGGATGCGCACAACCGATTATAATTAATTAAAAAAGTTGGGTCTGAATGTTTTACGGCGTCGCCCCTGCAACATGTGGAAATACCCAAATTTTCACGTAACCAGTCTGATGTTAAGTTGTCCCTCATTCCTCAAGGTTTATAAAATGGACCAATTTTTGTAGTTAATGTTTCAGCAAATTAATACTTAGGTCGAACAATTGATAGAAAACACAAAGTTGGTTTTAACGTATACAATTGTTATATAATGACACGGTTCTCTCATTTTTTTTTGTAATATAAAATTTCTAGTGTTTCCCACTGTTTTATTTGTAGGTAATCATACCTGTTTTTTTGAAATTTCAAAAATTGAATTGCGACTAAATTATTCAATTAGGTAATAATTAGCTAAGTATATCTAAGTTTAATTTAATTCTTAATTGTTCTCTAGTAAACGTAGAGTACTTATAGGTAGGTACCTAATGAGGAACGATTTTTTTCACTAAAAAATAAAATTTAATTATTTTCCGACCAACTTCGCATGCATTACCGGAAATAACAATTAAAGTGTAAAATTACCTGTACAATTAAAAAAGCACTGATATATAGGGTGTACCATGATTTCTAAATCTTGAGAAAAACCGGAAGTAGTAGGAAAATATTATTTCGAACCTTCATTTCGTTTTGGCTATATATAGGTAATAATATCACTCACTTAAATTTTATATTTAGGTATAGGTACAATCGCAATTCTGCAGGAACAATCTAATTTGGTTTACACACGGTACCTATATTAACAAGAATGAAATGTGGGTAGTCAGTTCCATATTAATCCAAGGTTTAACTGATTTATTGCGAATTGCGTTCACGATTTTGGACTTTCTGGCCGTCCGTCCGCGCGTCTGTGTACATTATAACTCGCCTACAGTTTCGAATTTTCCAATTCTGTTTTTAGTTATAACGGGCGACCAAAAATGAGTGGCGGTCGAGGTGGTTTTAAAAGTTCAAGTAATGTACGATTTCCCTTGTAGGTAAACAAACATTCCAAAAGTGACTCGACAGCACAGTAGGTAGAAAATGGCCAAGGGACTAATTGATTAAATTTTAGGCTTTAGACTTTCTGTCCGTCCGTCTGGGTGCATGATAACCCGCAAAAGGTTTCGAATTTTCCAATTCTGTTTTCAGTAATAGGTAAACAATGGTCAAGGGACTAACTGAAAAAATTCTAGTCATTTGGACTTTCGGACCGTCCGTCTCTGTACATGATATCTCGCGAACGGTATCTAATTCTGTTTTCAACAATAGGTTGACATTGAGACAAAATAGTAAAGGCACTAACTGATTCAACTTTGGTCACTACTTGTCAATTTGACCTTCTGTCCGTTCGTCTGTATACTTGATTATTTTTTTTTAAATTTTATTTTATTTTTTTATTTTTTTTTGATTTTATATTTCTATTTGCAATCAGTATACATTACTATAAGCAAATATGTATACTTGATAACTCGCGAACGGTTTGGAATTTTCCAATTCTGTTTTCTGTAACGGGTAGATAATGGTCAATGGACTAACTGATTAAATTTCCGTAATTTGGACTTTCCGTCCGTCTGTGTACAGCTCGCGAATGGAATAGAATTTTCCAATTCTGTTTTCAGCAATAGGTGGACATTTAGATAATAGTCAAGGTGATTAAATTTTGGTCAATTCTCGTCAATTGGACATTCCGTCCGTTCGTCTGTATGATAACTCGCGAACATTTTTTGAAATTTTCCAATGCTGCTGATGGGTAGACAATGGTCTAGCTTATCAAGCAGCTCGGATGAATTTATTCAGAATTTAAATGTTACTTTTGTCTATGTGGGTATGATGGAAGTATCACGAAGAATAATTTCTGTGTCCAGGCTAAGTGGATAAACACTTTTTGGCTCTAACAAGAGCAACTTCAGTTTCCTCCGAGAGCTACGGAAGTAAAGAAACATACTCTGCCAGAGTGCCAGGAGCCTTATGTGTCTCAATTCTTGGGCTGGGGAATATTTTCTTTTTTAAAGGTACCTGATGCGTGTACCTACTTTTAAAGTTATTAAAAATATTTTTACTTTTTAGAAAAGAGTTTATTTTTACACATATCCATACCTATACAGTATACAGGGAGAAAATGTTGTCTGGAACACTGAATATATCTTCAAAACATTTTTTTGAAAGAAGCTTTTTATGGTCCAAAATTATAAAAATTTTTGCTAGCAATCTACGTACTTTAAATTTCTAGTCAGGAGCGTACTTCTCCGTGGTCAAGGGGGGCTTTATTGAATATCGCAAGATAAACAATCTATTATATTACAAAATCAAATTTAAGAGAAAAACCAAATCAACGAAAACGGTTGTGTTAATTAATTTGGCCTTGGGTTGCAATCATTAAATTCAAATTAATTAATTAGCTACATTCCAAGAAAATGTACATATTGGTTGAATAGATATTTACAAAACTGAGAGGGCCACTTTTTTAATGAAAAGCACTATTTTTCGTGAGATATAATTAGAATGATCTATTTTTAATAGGATAAGAATAAAATTTTGAAATTAAAAAAAGCTGTTTTCCTTAATTTGAGTTTTTTCCTTAAATTTTATTGTGTAGTATAATACGTTTTATATGCTGCTATGTTCAAACAAGGGTATTCTTTAAGAATATAATATAATGAAAACTGCTGTTTGGTATTAAAAAAATGCCCCCTTTGACCATGTAGAAGTACGCCACTGACCACAAATTTAAAGTAGGTAGATTGGTAGCAAACTTTTTAGAATTTTAGATACCATAAAAAGTGTTCCAGGCAAAATGTTCACCATGTATAATGTTTTGTTTACATTTAGTTAAATTATTACAATTAATTGATAATGTTTTTTAACCTTCTATCTTCAATTGTAAATGTCATTGTTTTGAATCCGAGCTTAGTTCGGTTCGACTCGAAACTGCGCTTGAAAACAAGCCGAGTTTTGAGTTGATCTGAACTGATTTTTCGAGCTGAGGTGGACATCCATAATTTCCAGCCGCGCCGAGCTTTGAAAAAGTTCGAGTCGACTCGACTCAATTCCATTCCTAATTGAGACAAACTTGGATCAAATTAAAATTTAGTCCATTATGTCATTATGTTCACTACAATGACTACGAGTTGAGGGTGTGGTTACAACAATTTAAAGCTCAAAGTTTTGTACAGCACATACAAAAATCAAATTGTGTAAGGTTGTTCAAAGATGAGCGGGGTTTCACCCAAAGCTGCTCCCGACATTTACAAATATCCATGTCCGAACCTGGATTCGAACCAAAGACACTCAAAATCTTCAGAAATTAGATTTACGTTCTACGTACTCCTTTATAGTCAAATTGCAGCTAGGAAATTCATTCCGAAGGGACTGCATTCACGAGACAAGCTTCCAAGCTCTAACAATCCAATTTCGATGGGTCATAAAATGGCAAAATAGGAATTATTACTAAGGCCTCCGCGGTAAAATCAATTGAGTTGTATGAACTATTGGTTAAATTGTAAAGAAATATCGTGGTCAATGCATTGTAAGAAAGAGACTAAACTCAATCTATCACACTTCTGCTAATGGAATCTTATGGTGTTTTCTTCCGAAAAGCGCGATTGCGTGCATTTATTTCAAAACACAAAGCAAACCGAAATAGATATTTATTTATTTACACAAACTCTCCTTAGATTGATCTTAAGTTTTATTATAAAATTTGGAATACTAAAGCAAGTTTTACTTGCATTTCTTTTATAATTGAACATGGATGAGTGTCTTCAAAAACACTGTAGGAGGGATGAAGCCACGTCGGCAACAAATATTGACAAGTAGGGTGACATATTATTAA